GAAAAACTTCCCAGCCACCGAGAGAGCACAAACTTCCTGATTCTTCGCTGCAGAGAAGGAATAACACATCAGCTTCCTCGGGATCACTAGGCAACCTACCTTGGTGTTTCTTCATTGGACCAATCAGAAACCGCCAAGGTTGAGTTCAGCCAATTGGAGCTTACAGGGGGAGGCTCTCCCCCGGCTATTGTGTTGCGATCCAGACAAACACCACTAAAAGGAGGCAGGTTTGGGTTCAACCTGACAGCTGGTCAATCCAATGAAGGAACCTTGGTAGAAGAGTGGAAAGAGGGCTGCGCTCCCCAACCCCATCGAACCCGCCAATCCAAGCGTTCAGTAAGCTAGCTCCAGCTGCTGATCGACAGAGGTTGCTGTTGGTCAGTCTCAGTGTAGCAATGTATACTGGGACAATGAGGTGAGATGTGTTGGGATACAATAAAGCTAATAATAAATAAACATTTTAAAATTGGTTGTTCTCGACAATTATCTTATTCTTAACTGTCCTGTTCCAGAAAAACCCGATGTGGGTCAATTTGTGGACGTTTATTTGGTTTACATTAAACAGAATGGGTACATTTCTACTATCGCATACATACCAACATTCTGTACTTAGCACTTGTTACTGGCAAAACCATGTATAATGTATGTTTTTAGACTATGTCTGCTGAAACCGCAAGAGGCAAGCAGACCAAGTTTTAAGTCTTCCTTTTCTGAAGCAAACGAAATGGTCAAGGCTGAAACCATGTCCCAGGTTTCTCACTAAAGGCACAGTATCTTTCACACTACCACTCAAAAGTTCTTGCAATGTAACATCTACTGAAATGACCTCAAAATTAGTGGCTAAACATTTTCTGCTAATTATATAAAAATTGAAAGCCATGAAAGAGTGTAGATGCTTAACAATATTTTATTTATGCACTGCAAAATGTCAGACTTTAAAAATCAGTCATCATTTTGTCTTGTAGTAAAAAAATATTTTTAAAAAAGGTAAAGCATCAGTGTTCAATTGTACATTATATATTATCATGTTAATACACTATATCAAAGTACTGAAGAACATTGTTTTAATAACACAATTGTAAACACAGCCAGTTAAATGGTATAGTTTTAACATAAGTAAAAAGTTAATTCCTTCCAAAATGTAACACCAAAATGAACATTATTTGTTTCAAAAATGGCTTTAGAGGACCTAAAAAAATTAATGTTTGTTTAAAAGAAGTGTCCACCAAAATGGAAGATAGATCAATATTGGGTAATAAACAATCAATTATGACACTGGTACTTTTGGTGTTATTCAGAAGTTCTCTTGGATTTGTCTTAGATAAGTTTAAGGATCACAATATGATAGCTAAGAATTCATTTTAGTGTACTAACCGCTTAAGACTACACATAAATTTTCAGAGATAGGGCAAACACACCTTAAAATAGTAATATAGTGTCCTTTAAATGTTGAGATGAACTTTGCAAACATGCACAAGAAAAATAATTTTTATATATGTTCCTTTGGTTCACTAAATTTTCTTCTTTTTGGCACTGACTCTCGACTAGCAGAATTAAAGTGATGAACCTGTAAAAAGAAAACAGCTACTAAGAATAGGTATTTTATAGTTTAAATGTCTTTAATTTTATATCTTTTCATGTTTCTGAAGTTTCTTTCTTCTTCTTTTTAAAAAAGTATACCTATGTCCTACTAAGATAGGTTACCTGGGTTCTTTAAATCTTCTGATGGCTGCTGAAAGTATATACTTGCAAAGAATAAGCTCTTCATTAGGGTTGTAGGAGTAGTAGATAGATAGGGTTAACATTATGCCCTTAAAATAGTAAAATATTTTGGGGGACTGAGAGAGGGAAAAAGGATTATAAAATGAGCTTCAAATAAAAAACACTCTACCTTGGCACAATGTAAGATTTAAATCATGTTTTGTTTTTGTATCCCTGGTACTTAGCAGTGCCTAATAGATAGTAGACATTCAATGTACACTTTTGAAAGAACGGGAGGACAACCTAGGAAAATTCCTAACGAGATTCCCTGAGTTACTGAACTTTGATTTTTCTGTGAGAAACTTATAAAGGATACAAATTGAATTATGATTTTGCAGGGGGGAAAAAATCAAGCCTTAATACATCGGGAAAAAGTAAAGAATCTAATATATTAGTGAAATGTCAGATTATTCCATTCCCTTCTTAAGATATGTAACTTGATAATAGTACTAACCAACTATATTTTTGAAATTACCCCTTTAATATTTGATTTTCAAAAATAGTTTTAAGTTTTCAGTTGCCTAATTTTAGCCTACTAATAACACTAAAAATTCTAAATTCTAAAATACTAAAAGTATAAATATTTATCTCCAAAATGACAAATACATTATTTCACTTAGTAAAATAAGATTCCAAATATAAAACAACCGTTAAAGGATTTAGGTCAGGAAAAATTTTTTCTCCTAAGGTACTTGGAAGAAATGCTATATATTTGAGGAACATGTGGATTTGGTAACTTGTCTGTTTCTACTTTAGTTTTGATCTCTAGAAAGCTCAGATCAAATTTGTGGCCCAATTTTAGCTCTATAATAAATAAAATGGCTTGAATATTCTTGTACTCTCATTTTCTCATTCAATTCATATTTTCCTCATATTGATTTTTATTTATTTTGTAAATTCCTCCAACTACTTAAAATCATTCATGGAACCAGGCATTAAATATTTACATGGAAAAATTAATAAACCAACATAGTGCATCTTATTTTAAAATCATCCTATTTTCGGGTAACCAAATACATTTTTAAAAGATTTGGATATCAGAGCTCTGAGGTATATCAAGATATATTATATTTGTCATCTTAAATTTAAACCATAATAATGATATTCTGATACTTGCCATTTTATTCAACCCATATGTTATAAGACTTACTGTCTTCCCAGATTCAAGTTGACTTCTCTTCTGATTTTCTTTAGAAGATTTTACTGGTTTATTTCCATTAACCTCCAAAAAGATAGAATAATCACTAATTGGTTACCTCTCAAAGAACAAATAACACTTGATTTTTAACCATAGGTACTACATGAAGTTTTTTTAAAAAACAGTTTTACTGAGATGTAATTCAGACACCATGCAATTCACCTATTTAAAAGTGTACAATTCAGTGATTTTAAAATATATTCACAGAGCTATGCAACCATCACCATAGTCAATTTTAGAACATTTTCAACACTCTAGAAAGAAACGATATGCCCTTATAGTTATCACTCATCTATTCTCCCATCTTCCCACCAGCCCTACGACTGTCTCTATAGAAATCCCTATTCTGGACTTTCATGTGAATGGAATCATATAATATGTGGACTTTTGTGACTGACTTCTTTCACTTAGTATAATATTTTCAAGGTCCATTCAAGTTGTAGCATGTACTGGTACGCCATTTCTTTTTATAGCTGAATAATATTCTATTGTATGGATATACCACACTTTGTTTATTCAGTTTTTTCCACCTTTGGCTACTGTGAATAATGCCATATATTCAGTTTTAAAAATGAGTATTGAATGATGACAAATTATTAGCTATCATATTACTATTCTTTAAAAGGACATATTAATTTTATGATGCTTGAAATGTATTCTTCAATAATAACTTCCTTAGTATATAAACTATTAAATATTTTCATTTCTTGCCCTTTCCTAACCATAATTCAGTCATGAGTCTCAAAATCAGGAGTACTCTTGGCAGAAAGTTCATATAGAAAAACATGGGCAATTTCAGAAGTGAATTTATGTTCTCAAAGCATCCAATGTTACATTACAAGGAAATCTTGCCTAATAATTTTTTTTATGCTGGCTTTTCTCCTTATATCCTAAAAAAGGATACTCATCCTAAAAAGAAGTTCCCTAGGAAGAACATTTTACTGCTAGAGATAGTAATTTTTGAAATTCTTTTCTCTCTTGCTTTCATCAACATACTAGTTTCAGTGCTGTTTTCTGCCAGTTCTAACTTCCCATTGAGAATGGGGGGG